TTACCAGCCAGATTTGGGTTTCAGTTTTCTGGCAAGGAATCAGCCATAGACGCAACAGGTGAACCAAAGGTCCGGTTTTATTTTAGAGAGTGAAGAACAAGAAAGGTCAGCTAGGACTTCCCTTAAAAGCAGAGGACCCCGAACATATACAGTACAGTGGTGCCTCGCTTAACGACGATAATCCGTGCCAAGAAAATCGCCGTTAAGCGAAAGCATCGTAATACGAAAAGAAAAACCCCATTGAAAAGCATTGAAACCTCTTCAATGCGTTTCAATGGTGTCAAAACTCACAGTCCAGCAAAGATCCTCCATACGGCAGCCATTTTCGCTGCCTGTCTTGCAAGGAATCCATCCCAGGAAACAGCGGGGAGCCATTTTTTTCCCCGGCGGCCATCCCCCGGAGGCCATTTTGGAACCGCCGATCAGCTGTTCTGGGATCGTCGTTTTGCAAAGAATCGGTTCCCAAAGCAGGGAACCGATCTTCGCAAAGCGAAAAAAAAAAACCATTTTGACCATTGTTTTGTGATCGCTTTTGCGATCGCAAAAAGATCATGTAATGTGGTTTCGTCGTTATATGAGGCAATCGTATAGTGAGGCACCACTGTATATCAATTTTATAATAATACAGACAAAGAGCCATAAAATACTATGATTCTATTGGTCAATTGTACCCCAAATTTGGACCCAGTCCCTCATTGGGTAATTGATGCCAACTACGCTAATCTAGTGGTTACATGAAGATATGCATATTGTCCCCGATCTTTCCTTGACCTGGGCCCTGAATGCGCCTGAAAGTCTGGGGACCAGAGTATCCATTTTCCCTTATCTATTGGTATGTTTATGTGTTTTCTTCCTGGGCCCTGATCTATGGCCTTCCATACTGTGAATCACTTGTGAATGTTACTTGCTGGCTTCCTCCTACAAGCATTCCAATGGTGGGCCATCTGTTTCATCAAAAAAAGTGGTTAGGCAAAGAAGAAGAGTGACGTTGTTATTCTATGTCAGCCATAAATACTTTTGAGCTAGGTGTGAATGTTTCAGGGTTAAGGTCTTTCTGAGGCCTGGACTTTTTCTCCATGTATTGCCAATTCTAAAATGTAGTTTCATCTTTTCTCGGTATCACTGCCTCTTACTTTGATTTTTACCGTGGTCATCATCTTTCCTTAGAAAGCAGAGACGGGGAGCTTTAGCCTCATCTCTAGCCAAGTCTTGTGAAAGAATGAAGGCGGAAAGGCTCCAGTTATCTGGAAGGAGCTGTCAAGCGTTTCTTCCACAAGGTGTTAAGAGTAAGAAACATTTCCTACCATCTTGCATTGCTTCAGAGATCAAGTAATGGCACCAGATTTTCAAATTTCATATTTACTCAGCTCAAGAAAGTAAGTACCAGCAGCAGAGCTGGACATCCCTGGGCTCTCCTAAACCCCTTTGGAGCCATTTGAATTGTTACCGGTGGAGATTACTCTGTGATATGAGATCATTCAAGAAAAGGTGGGACCTGATAAATGGGCACCTTGGTTTCTTGCTTCGGAGTAACAGATGTTTAACATCCTGGCTTCCCTGCCCCGCCTCCTCTTCTGAGTGGGCGTCCACCAGAAGAGGCTGGGCAGGAAAACCAGGACAGCCATTGGACATACCTGTTTATCCAAAGTGATGAACCATTATGAGGCAGCAGTTCCTACCCATCTCCGATGTTTCTACCTTTCAGAGCACCCCACCTCTCTGCTGAGTCTCCTCTTTCCCTTTCTTAACATGTGTTGAAATCTGTTGTTGGAAGCAGTCATGTTGTTACATTACTGCTTGGTTTGTTCACGTTTTTGAAGTTATTCTGCTATTGTGAATCGCTGCACTTCTACTGTACTGCTAAAGAAACTTAATGAAAACATTAAAAAAACCTGAAGTTTCCAATTCAACAATTGCTCCACTAAGTACAAATGAGACCACTGAGCAACAAAATTGTTGACAGATATAATTTGTGTATATGTGAATTTAAATGTATTTTGCAAGGAAGGGCCAGAATGTTGTATTTGCATAGCATAGCATTCTGACCAATCAGAATGTCTCTAGAGTCAGCCAGGCAGCCTATATAAGGCAGGTGTCAGTTAGAGGTCTTGTCAGACACGGCCGGGGACTCACACTCAGACCATCTGTGACGGACACTCAGACAATGACTGAGACAGGGACAAACACGCAAGAGGGCTGACAGAGCTGACAGGGTTAAGGATGTAACTGACAGGATTTGATAGGGCCAGATAGGGCTTACAAATATAATGGTGTTATGATGAGTGGGTTAGTTATTCATGAGAGGAAAATATGGCTGTCAATAAGTCAATGTTATAACTATGACACAAGTAATTATTGGATTATCAATTGCTGGCACAGACACCAGGGAGAACATAAAATGTTACTCTAAGTGGCTTTTTATCAATATGCCTCAAACTGCTGTGTGCAAACCCTGCAAGTTAGAGGTTATATCTTTTTTATTATAACTAAAAAGGCAACATAAAAAACGTTATGGGACCAAAATTCAATCTCCTGAATTGTGGTAACATCGTCTCAGATTGTGGCGGTACAGTTTATGACAGTCCTAGAGAGTGGTAACCAAGAGTACGGTAACCCTGATTGTTGTGGTGGTTCAGATTAAATAAAAGTCCACAGAAATATGAAATGTCCACAGAGAAATAAAGTCTACAGAAAACTAAAAATCCAATAATAAAAACGAGGCACAACTAAGTAGTCTCAGTGAAGAAGGCAGAGATGAAGCCAGTCTGAGGTAAAATTCTCAGGAAAGTGTGGTAAAGGTTCCCCTTGACAATTTGTCCAGTCATGACCGACTCTGGGCGGCAGTGCTCATCTGTTTCCAACCCATAAAAACCCGCAGACAATCCTCCGTGGTCACGTGGCCAGCATGACTAGACACAGAACACCATTTACCTTCCCATTGAGGTGGTACCTATTTATCTACTCACATTTTGCATGCTTTCAAAACGCTAGGTTGGCGGGAGCTGGGACAAGCGACAGGGGCTCACTCTGTTGCGTGGATTTGATCTTATGACTACAGGTCTTCTGACCTTGCAGCACAGAGGCTTCAGCGGTTTAACCCACAGTGCCACCACATCACAGGAAAGTGTGAGTCTGAGGTAAATCACAGTTTATGAGATAACATAGTAACTTAAAAGAAGCACAACTAAAATATAAAATTTTATTCTCCCTGTAAACGAAACTGGACCAACTTACATAAAAAATGAATTTACTTTGGAAACAAGGAATTCTGTAGTAAACTTCCAGAATGAACAAAGATGAATTATAGACAGTGGGTTGACATACTGAAGATTGATTTACAAACTTTAGATAATTATATATTTAAAAAGCCACATAATAGTTAAGAAAGAAATGGGAACAAACTGATTGAATTGCGAAATGTATAATATATCAGTCTAACAGATATTTAATTAAGTTATACAACAAATGAAGAATTAAGACACAGCTAAACAAATGCTTGAGAATGTAAACGACGTTTATGATATTTCCAGTCACATATGTACAAAACTCATCAGACAATTAAGCAAGTTATATTTAAATAAGAACTACGAACAACACATAAATAACTATTTAAGCATTGCAGACAGCTTAAAAACAGCAGGTTTTGAAATGACAAACTATATAAAGGATTTTTTCTGTCATCACTTGGGAAATTTTTTGAAGTGCTTGTATCTTTTTTTTGACAGTCATATATATAGTTTAGCGAACAATCCTGTGTATTTCTACTCACAAGTAATCTCCATTATGTTCAATGAATTTAATCCCCGTTAAATATGTAGTGTATTGCTGTCTAAATGAAGTTCATGTCATTAAGAACTAAATATGCTTGTTTTAAAATATAGGTCAGGTGTAGGGATAGGGGACAGGGGACATGGGATAGAACAAAGGTTGTAAGTCAACGTGAACATTTTACAATATTCATTTTTATCTATTACATGCAGTAGTGAAGTCTTTGTATCTTTAAACATTGCTCAAAATCAAATTTTCAAGAAACTGTGAGGAACTTAAGAGAACAATGTAAAGATCAAGAAAATTCAGAAAAAAATAAATCTAGTTACCTCATGCATGACAGTTATAAGAAAAACAAAGTAAGTTACGAAAATGTTACTGCTATGGTAAAATTGGTTCTTATTTGAAGGACAGTTATGTTCACAAGTATAATTTGAATTGTGGTGTTGGAGGAGGCTCTTGAGAGTCCCCTGGACTGCAAGGAGAACAAACCTATCCATTCTAAAGGAAATCATTCCTAAGTGCTCATTGGAAGGACAGATCCTGAAGCTGAGGCTCCAATACTTTGGCCATCTCATGAGAAGAGAAGACTCCTTGGAAAAGACGCTGATGTTGGGAAAGTGTGAAGGCAGGAGAAGAAGGGGACGACAGAGGACGGGATGGTTGGACAGTGTCATTGAAGCGAACAACATGAATTTAACCCAACTCCGGGAGGCAGTGGAAGACAGGAGGGCTTGGCGTGCTCTGGTCCATGGAGTCTTGAAGAGTCGGACACGACTAAATGGCAACGATAATTTAAATAAAAATAAATATTTTAAGTTTCAACTTCTTTACCACAAGAAGGACACACTGGATCCACTGGCACTGCTGGTCTCCAAGTCCCTATGCCACAGGACCAGAACTAGAAAGAATAGTGCAAAACCCATAGCTACTTTCCCCTCATTTTGTTCAGTGTATGATTTTCCAAAACATCTTCTTGTCCAATCTTCCAACAGTAGACAAACCATTTTCCACACTCCTGTTGTTTGTATGGTTCCTCTCCTATAGTATTTCTTTCATGCTTCAGAACAGGTGAATTTGAACCAAAAGCAAAAAATGTTACCATATTTGTCGGCGTACAAGATGACTGGGCGCATAAGACAACCCCCCAATATTTCCAATCAAAATATAGAGTGGATGGCTCTGCTGTGGCACCAGCAACGGCTGCCCGGGGCTCTGCCCAGACCCGCCCTGGAAGTTCATGGCCGGCAAGGAGGAGGGTGAGGAGGAGGGGAAGTGGCCGGGTAGGCGGCAGCAGCGGAGGAGGGGAAGCGCCTCTCCGGCGGCGGGCAGGCGAGCGAGCAGCTGGCTCAGCGGCGCGGGGTGGCGGGCAGCCTGTCAGCGGGCTCTGGCCACTCAGGCATGGCCGGCTCTGCTTCCCTCCCTCCGTCCAGACCAACTACCTGCCTGCCCGCCTGTCTTCCTCCCCGGCTGGCGCAGCCCCACATCACTCACTCAACGGCGACGATGATGGCTTCCTGGCCCAACTGAAGTGCACCCGGTGTATAAGACGACCCCCCTCTTGGAGGCATGTTTTTTGGGCCAAAAAAGTCATCTTATATGCAGGCAAATACGGTATATCCTACTCAGATTTCAAGAGTTGCTCTCCTGCATGGATTTCTCTTATGTCTCATAAGTTTTGATTCTGAGGAAACATTTCCCACATCCTTGGCATTTGCACATGTTCTCTCCTCGACTCTCATACAAGTCAGAAGCCATGAAAAGTGGACAAAACATTTCCCACATTCATTTATAGGACTTCTCTCATATGTGCACTGTCATATGACCAATCAGCTGTGATTTGTGATCAAAACATTTCCCACATTCTTGGCATTTGTGCAGTCCTGTGTGGACTTTCTTATGATTTGAAAGCTGAGAACGGTGGGCAAAACATTTCCCACACTCCTGGCATTTGTAAGGTTTCTCTCCTGTGTGGACTCTCTTATGATCCACAAGGTTTGAATTCCGGGCAAAACATTTTCCACATTCCTGGCATTTGTATGGTTTCTCTCCTGTATGGACTCTCTTATGAAACACAAGGTTTGAATTCTGAGCAAAACATTTCCCACATTCCTGGCATTTGTATGGTTTCTCTCCTGTGTGGACTCTCTTATGATTAATAAATTCTGAGCTTTGAGAAAAACATTTCCCACACTCCTCGCATTTGAACGGTTTATCTCCTGTGTGTACTCTCATATGATTAGCAAGAGTCGAATTCCAGGCAAAACACTTGTCACACTGTTTGCATTTGTACGGTTTCTCTCCTGTGTGAACTCTCAAATGATTTGCTAGCCATGAACTATGGGTAAAACCTTTCCCACACTCCTGGCATTTGTAAGGTTTCTCTGCAGTGGGGACTCTCATATGATTGACAAGCTGTGATTTTTGAGCCAAACATTTCTGATATTCCTTGCATTTGTACGGTTTCTCTCCTGTGTGGACCCTCTTATGACAGACAAGATGTGAACTCTGAGCAAAACATTTCCCACACTCCTGGCATTTGTATGGTTTCTCTCCTGTGTGGACTCGCATATGATTCACAAGCTGTGTTTTCTGAGCAAAACATTTCCCACATTCCTGGCATTTGTATGGTTTCTCTCCTGTGTGGACTCTCATATGCTTCACAAGCTGTGAACTCTCAGCAAAACATTTTCCACACTCCTGGCATTTGTACGGTTTCTCTCCTGTGTGCACTCTCTTATGACTCACAAGGTGTGAACTGTGAGAAAAACATTTCCCACACTCCTGGCATTTGTACGGTTTCTCTCCCGTGTGGACTCTCACATGATTCACAAGCTGTGTTTTCTGTCCAAAGCATTTTCCACATTCCTGGCATTTGTATGGATTCTCTCCTGTGTGAAGCCTCTTATGAAAGATAAGCTGGGAATTCTGAGCAAAACATTTACAACACTCCTGGCATTTGTATGGTTTCTCTCCTGAGTGTACTCTCATATGCTTCACAAGCTGTGAGTTCTCGGCAAAACATTTCCCACACTCTTGGCATTTGTATGGTTTCTCTCCTGTGTGGACTCTCTTATGACTCACAAGCTGTGTTTTCTGAGCAAAACATTTCCCACACTCCTGGCATTTGTATGGTTTCTCTCCCGTGTGGACTCTCACATGATTCACAAGCTGTGTTTTCTGTCCAAAGCATTTTCCACATTCCTGGCATTTGTATGGATTCTCTCCTGTGTGAAGCCTCTTATGAAAGATAAGCTGGGAATTCTGAGCAAAACATTTACAACACTCCTGGCATTTGTATGGTTTCTCTCCTGTGTGGACTCTCATATGACTCACAAGCTGTGAACTGTGGGCAAAACATTTCCCACATTGCTGGCATTTGTATGGTTTCTCTCCTGTGTGGATTCTCTTATGAAAAACTAGATGTGATTTCTGAGCAAAACATTTTTTGCACTCCTGGCATTTGTATGGTTTCTCTCCTGTGTGGATTCTCTTATGTAACACAAGGTGCGATTTTTGAGTAAAACATTTTCCACACTCCTGGCATTTGTATGGTTTCTCTCCTGTGTGGACTCTCTGGTGGATTTGAAGTCTTGATTTACAGGCAAAGGTTTTCTCACAGTTCTTGCATTTGTACGTTTTTTCTCCTGTTTGGATCCTTTGGTGGCTCACAAAGTATGATTCCTGATCTAATCGTTTATGAGATAATTCACTTACAAAATGCTTCTTTCTATTATGAACCCTTTTGTGAAGCACAAGTGCTACCTTCTTGGCAAAATGTCTGGCACACATGAGACATTTGTAGGGCTTCTCTTGGATGTAGTTATCTTCTTCTGTATTGTTTCTCTGGTGTCCAGCAGTCTCTAAATTGTGTGTAAAACTCTTTTCGTATTTGGAACATACATTTTTCCCATTCAAGTGATCTGCAAGGAAGAAGGACAAATACTGAAATGCCTAAACTTAAGATACCGTATTTGCCTGCGTACAAGATGTCTTTTTGGCCCTGAAAAACATACATCCAAGTGGGGGGGTCGTCTTGTATGCTGGGTGCATGTACAGCAAACCCTCCCTCTCTCCCAGCAAAGTCACTTACCTGGTAGTAAGACCGAGTAGAACCCCCTCCTAGCCTGGGAACAGCCTGACTCTAGCGCTGAATAGCTGATTGTCGGGAAGCAGCAGAGAGGCGGCAGCCATTTTGAGATGTGACCCCTTGGCTGCTGCCTCTCAAAATGGCTGCCGCCTCTCCAAAATGGCTGCCGCCTCTCCAAAATGGCTGCCGCCTCTCTGCTGTTCCTTCTTCCAGCAAATCCTGGCTCTCTCCAAAAGGGGCAAAAGGAACTCTCCCCATGATGCAGCCAAAGCAGAATCACGCATGCGGAAGAGGGGGTAGTCTTAAACAGCAAGTACGGTATATAACAAACTCTACATTCTGAGTGGGAATGTTGGGGGTCGTCTTATACTCCCAGTCGCCTTATACACCGGCAAATACGGTACAAATGGAAAAAAGGAAAGTTTTCTGAAAAAATGGATTTTGACACATGAAAGCTCACATGGAGGGAAAATTTAATTTTTACCATTTTGTATATGTGCAAATTTGCTTTTCTTCTAGGGCACCTGGTGCTACATTATGCTCTTTTATGGTGCAGATCAAAAGTTTTTTATTTCATTTCTTATTTGAAGAACTATATCAGGGATTTAAAATCTTATCACTCATGTTTTTGTTCAACACACTTCAAATGATTTTAGTCTACTTTTATGTTCAACTACTATAGAAATAAATTTCACAAAGTATCAGAGGGTGGATTGCAGCAGTCATTTATCCTGTCCTATGATTTTGAACTCATTTAAAGTAGTAATGTAGTCTTTGATTATATTATATTTATATTATTTCTCATCTCTGTCCCAAATATTACCACTGCTAAGCAAGTCAAAGACTTCCTTTAGTCAGCCATCATTACAGCTTTAATTATGTTTGCTGGTCTAGCAAATGAGTTGTCCAGTCTGGTATTATAGGTTCTAGCTTGCTTATCAATCTTTCCCATGTTTTCCATTCTCTATCAGAGAAATGCACGGACGTGTGGGAACAATAAACTAAATTCGGGGGAAGAAGGGAGCAGGAAGGGTCAAGAGGGAGCCAAAAAGAGGCACCACAATTGTATGAAGTTTCAAAATGTGTTATTTGGCATTAATCTTTGGAATTGCATTTGTGGACTTGAGAAAAAATTGGTCCACCTACTGTGTGGAAACCCAAACGTTTCCACAGAGCTATCACATCCTCTTTCAATCTTTTCCTGTCAAGGATAAACCTCCTCTACTCCCTTAACTGATCTTTAAGAGTTGCTTTTCCGACCCTTTAATATCTGCTTCATGCAGGATATTGGTTCCACCTTCTCATTATCTTTCTTAAAAGGTGGCATCCAGAACTGTACACAGCATTCCAGTGAACCTCTAACCAAATTAGAACAGAGTGTGACTTTTCTATTATCTGGACACCATTTTTCTGTAGAAGCTTATTAGCTTCTTTTTGCCTTTAGCTTTTAAGCAATGAAGGTCCTGACGTGTTTGAAATGATCAGAAAAATGACTTAACGTGTTTTATTAATCACCAGTGATCTCAAAAATCTAATCTGTCACCAAGTGTCCTGGATGAAGATTTTTTTAAGATGTAAAGTTACTATTCCGTTTTGTTAACAAGCAGGGGGGAAAGGATGCGTACCATATTTTTCTGTGTATAAGACTATACTTTTGTCTTAAAATCTTTAGACTAAAAATTGAGGGTTGTCTTATACACGGAAGTAAGCTGAGTAGAGAACAAACACAAGTGGAGGGAAAAGAAGGGATCAAAGCGATTCTGCAGTGCTTTTATCCCTTTCCCCCTGCACTTGCTAAGCCCCACTTAGATTTCTTAATTTTGCGTTAGAAAAGTGGGGGGCGTCTTATACATGGAGGTGTCTTATACACGGGGAAAATACAGTAATTCTGAAGTGCTTTATAATTAGTGAATATTCTAAAGAACTTGAAAACATGCATATTCTTGCAACATTTTGGTATGTCTCAAGAGAAATTTCTGTAACTCAGCTGGTTTGCATTTCTAATTTCTCATCTCTATATTTCCAAGATGTTTCTCAGACAACTGAGGGTTAAAAAAGAAAAAGCAATGCAGCATTCTCAGTTCATCTTATGGCACTTTAATATACACTTGTAGCAGCTCTAACATGTGGGGGCGAGAAGTGTTTCTGCTTTAGCTTGTACCTCTCAAGTGCAATGAAAGGAAATCCATTATAAATATAAAGATAGAATTAAATCCCTCTTCATGGATTGCTGCCTTGTCGAAGTATACAGCTGAAACTACTTTTTAAATGCAGTTAAAATAATTTCAAAGAAGTAATAGAGGAGGTAGAGCATGCCCCTAAGCATGCAGCTTACTAAACATCACACCATCACTATCCAGCTTACTAATCAATGCTCCACAACTGAGGACCAAAATCCCATTCCCAGTTCAAATTTCATATCTCTAGAATCTTCTAAGATAACTGTGAGGCAGTGACAGCCAGCAATGGAATTTACACATGGCTGGGTGTCAACAAAATTTTCTGTGCGTTAACACACTGCAAAATAGTGCTCGTTTTTTACTTTTTAAAGTTTTAATCGTTTTGCAGGTCTTTCATTGAAAAGCATAAGCTTTTTTCCTTTTTATCATTGTATTCTTAGGAAGTTTGCAGTGTTCTCAAGATTTATTCTCTGTCTTTCTAGATTATGAGCTCCAGTGTTTTAATGTGTTTGTATTTTAGATTGAAACACGTCTTAAATTTTCCCTATTATCTAAATTTTAATTCCGGCATTTTTTTACAAAGTGCAATCATATGTTTTAAGTAAGCTTGCAGTTTCTGCAGAACCATATGACGCTTGGATTTGAAGATCTGTACCTTCCGGCATTTTTTTACAAAGTGCAATCATATGTTTTAAGTAAGCTTGCAGTTTCTGCAGAACCATATGACGCTTGGATTTGAAGATCTGTACCTACAGTTTTTTCCTCACGCCTGTAAGAGTGCCTTACATAAGTTTTTCAAAATAGTATATTTAAGTATGGAGTCTAGAGATGATGTAATAAATGGACTTTTATAGAATTAACAAGTTTTGGAATTGGCTGGAATCATTGCAACAATGAAAAGACTTCTTACGAACTACCCAGATGAGCTTCAAACACCTTGTCACTGGTTGTCTATATGAGGGATAAGGTCATGCTATACCTATCCTGACTGGATTGCCATCCTTTCCTGAGAAGAGGAGGGAGAATCCCATGAATGGGAAAATAGAGAGATGAGAAGGATCACAGAGAAAACCAGGAGGATATAGTTCTGGGTGGAAGTTCCAGTGAGGGAAGCAGAATTTCCATCAGAGGAAAGGAAGGATCCACCAAGTAAAGGAACATTAGGAGTAGCAGAGGTGCAGGAGAAAAAGAAAGGAATAAGACAGTGAGATGGATTTTTGAGTTAAAATCTTTTAAGGAATATGGGTTTTGTAATTAAGAAATGAGCAAGAGAGGTTCCATCTTGTTTCTTTGTATAAAGTATCTTTGCTATGCTGACAGGTTGTTTTCGCTGCAGCTAATTATGGTTAGTTAATAAGATACCAAGGTATGTCTTCACCATGTACCTGGTCACACAACCAACTGCACAACCAAGATCTGTTCCCGTACCTTGTCAATTAGCTACAACTGGTCATGAGAAGTTATACAAACCTTTGCTTTCTAAACCATTCATGCAAATTATCTGAACTGAGCTGCAGCACAAAACTGTCCTGACTTCCACACCTATCTTAAGCTGGAAACGTTAGTTGGGCACATAAATAATGTTTAATAAAAAATGCTGTAATATAGACAAGACGTAATGTTTTAAATTTAACATTAAGCTGTCAGTAACTCATGGAAGTGCCTAGCATGCAGTGACTTCACCTAATACAGTGGTGCCCCGCATAGCGAGGTTAATCCGTTCCGGATTAACCATCGCTACGGGGAAACATTGCTATACAAAACAGAAAACGCCATAGAAACGCATTAAACTTAGTTTAATGCGTTCCAATGGCTCTAAAACTCACGGTTGTGAGAAGTTTCCCCATAGCGGCGCCATTTTCGCGCCCTCGGTAAGCGAGGGCAGGGCGCGAAAACAATGCGGGGGGCCATTTTGGGTGTTCCCGCGGCCATTTTGGAACCGCCGCAGCTGATTCCCCGACATCGCAATGCAAAGATCGGTAAGCGAAACGCTTACCGATCGTCGCAATGCGAGTTTTGCCCATTGGAACCATCGGTATGCGATCGCATTAGCGATCCCAAAAAAGGGATCGCTATGCGAATTCGTCGTTAAACGGTGCGCTCATTATGCGAGGCACCACTGTATTCTCACTATGATTCCAATTTGGCACAGCTGGCTATGGTACTGCAGCTCAGTACATCTGGAGGGTTACATTTATTGCCCAGTCTGGCATTATGGATATCACAGTGGCTAGTATTAGTTGGGACATCACACCAACATAGAAGCATTGTCATTGCTCTTACTAGTCATCATTGCATTGTTAACACCTGAGTTTAACATTAACTGGGGAAAGAGAGTGACTTACTGAGAGAGGATACCATTTGCCA